TTGCTTTTTTGCATTTTATGCTCTGCTACATTGCTGTGACCTAAGAATAAAAGCTTAAGAAAAGCTAATAAACGTTTTGTATTTCTTTTCTTTTAAGAAAACCCAAAGTCTGTGTGTGTCTGAAGGCTCCAATCAGCCAAGAAGGCTGAAAGACAAGAATCATCCTGGATTGCCAAAATGCAGAGGTGCTGATACTGAGTGCAGCAGGAATAACAGTAACTCATGCACACGGTTGATGATTGTCCAGACAGACTTTGGAATCAACTAAATCCCTGAATGAGCCTGGCCACACATGTTGTCCATGAGGCCTAAACTCTGTCAAAATAAGATTTCTGAGATCAAACTTTTATCAGTTCAAAAAAGATAATTAAGGGTTGCCTTTTATAGAACATAATCTATGACGTCAGAGAAACTCACCTGCAGAAAATGGCATGAATGCATCCCTCTTCACAAATTTTCCTTTAGAATCAAGAAAATGCTCAGGATAGAATTCATGAGGTTTCTCCCACTGAGATTCATCACGGAGCACAGAAGTCAGCAAGGGAAGTACGTACATGCCCTAAAAATTGAAAGGATTAAAGAAAACTATATGAAAAGGAGTATGTCCTCTTAGTACATGGCTATATTATATATCATTACGGTGATTTTTAAAATATTATTGGGTCTGGAGCAACATTCAATTTTAAAATATTAAAATTATATTTTAAAAATTGTATTGCAAATATATATACTGATTTAATTATTGTGTTTGGACATGTTCAAAAAATTTAAACATCAGGCAAATTATCTTAAGCTGTATTTTACTATATTGAAACATTGTACCTTGAACTTGTGGACTTAGAATGCAGGATCCAAAACAAATAATAAAGGCTTACTGAAAGGAAGCAGTGGATATAAAGCAAGCAACCAACAGGAGGGCAAAACAAAAACAAAACAAGAGGGGAAACATACTCCATAAATCAAGAGGTGAGGGCAGTTTGGGAATGCCACATACCAAAGAAAAACATTGCCTTTGGCACTTTGAGAGAAGCATCTATGAGGGTAAGAGGCTATGTGGCTTTTTAGCTCTATAGATCAACTTGATTTAGTCCATTTCATTCATTTAAGGACTGATTCTTCTACCACACTGTACATTATAAATTAGATCTTATGCAATGCAGTGATTTTAGACTGGTCACCTTGGGGATGAGGAAGCCTTTGAAAGTTATGTCCATGGTTGTTGCATGTGACAAATCAGATGGAGCAATGTCAGTAAACCTTTGAACTTCATCACTGTAAGCAGGGGTGGGATTCTACCAGTTCGGAATGGTTTGGGCGAACCCCTTGCTCCAAAGATCAGCTGGCAGAGAACTGGTTTGCGGTGACTGGCATGGGGCCTGTCCACTCCTGCTCTTTCCTATGTTATATTCTCTTTTGTGAGAGCACAGCTGATTCGCAGGGCAGAGTGGTTTGCCATGCCTCAGCTATTCTAGTCACAGGGACTGCAGAAGAAGGTAAGTATGAAAGCTTTTTTGAAATGCGGAGCACTCACGTGGAGTGTGTGTTTGGCACGAACATGCACGATGACCAAACCGGTTGTTATACCGGTGGAATCCCACCCTTGAATGTAAGGCATTTTGTTTGGTGGTCTGTCTACAGCTGAGAAACTCCAATTTCTGTTGCAATTATTTTTTTCTGTTGTATTTTTTCACTTACTTTTTTAACCTCTTGTGTATTTTTATATTGCATGTTTTTCTTTTGTTATTTTTCTTTTTCTCTTATTATTTTAAAAAATAAAAATAAGTAATAAAAAACTATACTTTATTGTACTAGAATTCTATCTTGTATATTTTAAAAAAGCTAGGCCTTGTCTAATGCAGTGATTTCAGACTAATCACCTTGGGAATGAAGAAGCCTTTGAAAGTTACATCCATGGTGGTTGCATGGGGCAAATTGGTGGGGACAACATCAGCAAACCTTTGAACTTCATGAATTACGGCATCAGTATAAGGCATTTTTGCTCGAAAGTCAGTCCTTGGCTCACGATCACCAATCTCTTTTGCAATTTCCTCTTGGACTTTACCTGGGAGAACAAAATGACAAATATGACTCCTTGTTTAAATTTTGTTTTAAATGGGAGTTTATACATTCTAAATTTTGAATGATACAGTAGTCACTGACTGTGATGCATGTATCATGGTCCTTCAGATAGTCTCTCATGTATCAGTCATTTCATGAATGGACTATTGTAATCTGTTATACATGTGACTTTCTTGAAGGTCACTCAGAGATTATACCTAGCCCAGTATATGGCAGCAAAGATAATGTTTGGGCGCCTCATTGTACCCATGTGAGCCTATTGGACTAGCTGTAGTAGACTTCAGAGTGCAATTAAACTACTGGTAAATTTGGGTAAATAGACACAGTTTGAGTCCATAAATGGTAGGACTCTAGGAAACGTGCCTTCTCAGAACCAGTGCCTGCCTTTGGAAGGATATCCACTCAGGGATCCAGACTGTTGGCATTCTGATGACATTCAGAAAACTATTAAAGACCTGGCTATTCCCCTAGATTTGTGATAGGTTGAAACTGGAGCCCTGGTTAGATGGTTTTTGTAGATCTTAAAGCCATTTATAAATGTATGTAACTGTAAGCAACTTAGAATCACCAGGAATCAAGTGGTCTCCAAATTGATAAATAAAAGCAAATTTAAAAATAAATCTTTGGAGAACTGGTACTAAAGCATGAAGGAATTTTATCACACATTGGAAAACCAAAAGAAATCCATATGAGGGAAATAATTTTAAAAGTGATATTATTTGTGGTGTTCATAATTTGCTTAGGTACATCCAGAAATATTTCATCTGCACTATTAGAAGATAAGGTCATGAAGCCAACTATGCCTGTTCTGCAAAACTTATGATATTAATCTGTGATCTCATGTGTTAGCACTTTTCCACTTCTTTCTCCTTCTTTTAATAATATTTCCATTTAGAGAAGAGATAAAGTAATGATGGTATGTCATGGATAATGATGGTATGTGATGGTGATAGGAGACTCACTACTCAAAGTGACTGAATCAGCAACTTGTAAACCAGACAATCTATCTAGGGAGGTTTCCTGTCTCCCAGGAGCAAAGATCAAAGATGTCATAGAAAGGATTACTTAAATAATTAAGCCCACAAATTGTTATTACCTTCTCCTCTTTCATATGGGGATGAATATAATAAAGAGCCTGAAAACAACATCAAGAGACCAGGAGCAACTAGGCAAGAAAGCAAAAGTGATGGGTGCACAGGTGAGGTTTTCATCTGTACACCCAATAAAAGATAAACATCTAATGAGTAAATGGTGAATTTTTGAACTAAATCACTTCTTTAAAGGATAGTGCTATGAAGAGAACTTTAAATTCCTAGACCATAACTGGATTCCTGTTAAACAGGCAACAAATGGTCAAAATTGAGAGCATCCTATCAAATTCTGTACCTGTCAACAGTAGTGTCCCCCAAGGCAGCATTCTAGGGCCAACTCTCTTCATACTCTACATAAATGACCTCTGTGATCATATTAAGAGCAACTGTGTTCTCTTTGCTGATGATGTAAAGCTATTCAACACCACCAGGGTAGCAGTATTGCTACCCTTCAAAAAGACCTTGACTATGTATCAGAATGGTCAAACAAATGGCAACTTCAAATCTCAACAAATAAATGCTCTGTCTTACATATTGACAAAAAGAATCAGAAAATAAAATACCAGCTGAATAGTCAAGACCTTGTTGATAATCCAAACTCTGTCAAGGACCTTAGAGTACTCATCTCTAATGATCTAAGTGCTAGAGCCCACTGTAAATACATAGCCAAAAAAGCATTAAGAGTTGTTAACTTAATCTTGCATAGCTTTTTCTCTGGTAATATCACACTACTAACTAGAGCATACAAAACATTTGCTAGACCAATACTTGAATATAACTGGAACCCACATTATATATCTGATATTAATACAGTTGAGAAAGTCCAGAAATATTTCACAAGAAGAGTTCTCCACTCTTCTACTGGTTGCAGAATACCTTATGCCACCAGACTTGAAATTCTAGAACTAGAAAGCCTAGAACTATGCCACCATCGGTCTGATCTAAGTAAAGTACATAAAATTATATGTTGCAATGTCCTACCTGTCAATGAATACTTCAGCTTCAACCATAACAATACAAGAGCTCGCAATAGATACAAACTCAAGGTTAATCACACCAAACTTAATTGCAGGACTCTGTGGTTTCTTCCCCAAACTTCAAAAACTTTAACCTTAGACTGTCTACTATTGACCTCACTCCTTTCCTAAGAGGTCTGTAGGGGGTGTGCATAAGTGTACCAACATGCCTACCATCCATTTCCTATTGTTTCTTTTTTATTTTTCTTATATGTATCCATTTCATGTGTTCATAACTATGTTTATATTTATACCTGTTACCTTATAATCACTTGACAAAATAAAATAAATAAATAAATAAAATACCTATCTGAAGGATTACTGGCTGGGGATAGACTACACAGAAACTGGGAAGAAGGTTTTTTGAAAAACAGCTGGGTTGGATTATCTGAAGGGCTTTAAACTAAAACTGGAGGAGGGAGAAAGACAATTTGTAGGACTTCCGGTTTGAAGGGCTTTGGCGACAGACAGAAATCCGCGATCGTGCACGGTTTCTGTCTGGGCTCACCGCTGGAGCGCCCCGAGCCGGCCTGTTTCGGGGCTAAGCCACCCCATAGAGGTGGTGAAGAAGGGGGAGACTGCCAGCAGGGTCGAGGAGAGCCCCACCTCCATGACTTTGAATTGGAAGCTCCCTAGGAGGCAGTTGAGTGCTGTATTCCATTCATGTCCCTCTCTGATGTGGATTTGATTGTATGCTTCTCTGTGGTCTAATTTGGTAAAGACCTTCCCTTTGGCCAGGTGGGATAGCATGTCCTTCATGAGTGGGAGGGGATACAGATTGTGTACACACAGTCCAGTGATCCCTCTAAAGTCCACACATAACCTCATAGTCCCATCTTTTTTTTCTTTGAACAGGACTGGGACTGTGACCCATGGTGTGGTGGCTTGTTGGCAGCCAGTGCAGCCAACAGTGGAGTCGGACAGTGAGGAAGAAAGGAGACCAGTGAGGGAGTCTGGAGAGGACTTGGATGAGGGTCCTGCTTCTAATTCAGGGTTGGTGCCAGGACCGTCTGGGAGTGGAATGCTGGCTTTGGAGCCTTCGGAGTCTGGTAGCAGCGAAGCAGAGGACCCATGGGAGCCTGTTCCCAGTGCGCATGTGCACAGAGTGGCTAGGCAAAAGCAGTTGAAACAGGAGGGGTGACTCGGGAGTAAGGCTGGGAGGTGATTGTCGCTCCCATAAGGGATAAAAGTCAGATTTCAATGATGAAACCTTTGCAGGAAGCAAAGTAGTTTGATAGATTCTGAGTCCTTCTTGAAGCTCTGTGAACTCTGGTTGGTTTCTTCTGGTACTTCAGTTGGTTTCTGTTATAATTAATTGGATACTCCTGTTTTTGGCAGCATTTAAAGCCCTTCATGGCTTGGGTCCAGGTTATCTAAGGAAACATCTCTTGGCAGTCACATCCACCTGACCCATTAGAGCGAGGAGGCAGGGAATGTTGCAGGTCTCACCCCTGAGGGAGATACACCTGGTGGGACCCAGAAGAAGGGCCTTCTCCATGGTAGCTCCGTCTCTCTGGAACATCTTTCCCCCAGAGATTAGAATGGCCCCCTCACTAATACTCTTCCAAAAGGCACTGAAGACCTGGTTTTGCCAGCAGGCCTGGGGAACCCAGAGAGGGATGGAGGCCATCAGGTGGCTAGTGTGATCTGCTGTCATCAGGGAGGGGGATGAAAGTTGCTTTTTTGCTTTTGGGTTTTTTTTAAATTTTGTTCTGTTTTGTTTTTCTGTTTTTCCAAATTTTGTTCTATTGTACTTTACTACTTTATTTGATTCTTTTTGTTAGTTTTTATTGTTTTTATTTTTATTTTTTTGTTTTAAATATGGTTTTACATTGTGTAAGCTGCCTCAAGTTGCCATGGGCAAATAGGCAGCAATATAAATTAAATAAATAAATAAGTAAGTAAGTAAGTAAGTGTGTGTTTAATTATGTTTGACGAACCCGGGGTCAGAACATGTGGCTTGCCGGCTCGATGAACCCTCTTGCTAGGTTTTTGTCTATATATTTGCACATTTCTTGCATTTCTCAGGGTGTCGTGGCATACATTTGGAGCTTTGGTAATTTTGTCCCAGGAATGATTTCTATGGTGCATCCTGTCTCATGATGGGGCGGGTAGGATGTCACACACAATCTCACTGAATACTTCAGCAAGGGTCCTGATATTCTCTTGGGATCTGTTTGGCCTCTGGGGTTCTGTCGGAGGTGGCTGACAGTTGTTCTGGTGAACTCTCGGAGGGAGATCTCTGCATTGGTGATGCTTCTATTCAATGGTGAGGAAAGGATTGAGGTCCCTTTGCTATCCTCAATCTGTTGCTGCCCTCCTGCCACCAAATGGTTGGGCCCTACTTGTCTACCCAGGAAAGTCCCAGTATGACTGCATCAGTCATTTTGGGAGCCACTACAAATTGAATTATCTCCCAGTGTTCCGCTAGCTCTAGTCTCCCTGGTTTGGTTAAGTGAGTGGCATAGGCTCCTCCCAGCAGGGAGCCATCTACTTGTTCAAACTGGATCAGGTGGGCTAGCTTTTTCTCTCTGATTCCCAGGTCTAGGACCATGCTCAGATTTTTTTCCTGACCTGCACATTTATTTATTATTTTATTTTATTTATCAATTGCTTACAAGGTATAAGTAAAAACATAGTTATGAATACATGGAGACATATAAGAAAAATAAAAGAAACAATAGGACAGGGACGGTAGGCACGTTGGTGCACTTATGCACGCCCCCTATAGACCTCTTAGGAAAGAGGTGAGGTCGATAGTAGACAGTCTAAGGTTAAAGTTTTTGGGGTTTGGGGAAAAAAACCACAGAGTCAGGTAGAGTATTCCAGACATTGGCCACTCTGTTGCTGAAGTCATATTTCCTGCAATTAAGTTTGGTGTGATTAACCTTGAGTTTGTACCTAC